CACACGCTAGGCCCTTGTTCTTGAAATTTTGCACACGCTACGCCCTTGTTCTTGAAATTTTGCACACGCTCGTCCCTTGTTCTTGCAATTTTGCACTCGCTAGGCCCTTGTTTTTGCAATTTTGCACACGTTAGGCCCTTGTTCTTGCAATTTTGCACACGCTAGGCCCTTGTTCTTGCAATTTTGCACTCGCTAGGCCCTTGTTTTTGCAATTTTGCACACGCTGGGCCCTTGTTCTTGCAATTTTGCACTCGCTAGGCCCTTGTTCTTGCAATTTTGCACACGCTGGGCCCTTGTTCTTGCTATTTTGCACACGCTAGGCCCTTTTTTTGCAATTTTGCACACGCTAGGCCCTTGTTCTTGCAATTTTGCACACGCTAGGCCCTTGTTCCTGGAATTGTGCACTCGCTAGGCCCTTGTTCTTGAAATTTTGCACACGCTAGGCCCTTGTTCTTGCAATTTTGCACACGCTGGGCCCTTGTTCTTGCTATTTTGCACACGCTGGGCCCTTGTTCTTGCAATTTTGTACACGCTGGGCCCTTGTTCTTGCTATTTTGCACACGCTAGGCCCTTGTTCTTGGAATTTTGCACTCGCTAGGCCCTTGTTCTTGGAATTTTGCACTCGCTAGGCCCTTGTTCTTGCTATTTTGCACACGCTAGGCCCTTATTCTCGCTATTTTGCACACGCTAGGCCCTTGTTCTTTCAATTTTGCATTCGCTAGGCCCTTGTTCTTTCAATTTTGCACATGCTAGGCCCTTGTTCTTGCTATTTTGCACACGCTAGGCCCTTGTTCTTGCAATTTTGCACACGCTAGGCCCTTGTTCTTGGAATTTTGCACTCGCTAGGCCCTTGTTCTTGCTATTTTGCACACGCTAGGCCCTTGTTCTTGCAATTTTGCATACGCTAGGCCCTTGTTCTTGGAATTTTGCACTCGCTAGGCCCTTGTTTTTGCTATTTTGCACACGCTAGGCCCTTATTCTCGCTATTTTGCACTCGCTAGGCCCTTGTTCTTGCAATTTTGCACTCGCTAGGCCCTTGTTTTTGCAATTTTGCACACGCTAGGCCCTTGTTCTTGAAATTTTGCACACGCTAGGCCCTTGTTCTTGCAATTTTGCACTCGCTAGGCCCTTGTTTTTTCAATTTTGCACACGCTAGGCCCTTGTTCTTGAAATTTTGCACTCGCTAGGCCCTTGTTCTTGCAATTTTGCACACGCTAGGCCCTTGTCCTTTCTGTTTTGCACACGCTAGGCCCTTGTCCTTGCAATTTTGCACACGCTAGGCCCTTTTTTCTTGCAATTTTGCACACGCTAGGCCCTTGTTCTTTAAATTTTGCACACGCTAGGCCCTCGTTCTTGCAATTTTGCACACGCTAGGCCCTCGTTCTTGCAATTTTGCACACGCTAGGCCCTTGTTCTTGCAAATTTTGCACTCGCTAGGCCCTTGTTCTTGCAATTTTGCACTCTCTAGGCCCTTGTTCTTGCAATTGTGCACACGCTAGGCCCTTGTTCTTGCAATTTCGCACACGCTGGGCCCTTGTTCTTGCTATCGTTACCATGCGATTCGTTACCATTTGTCGGCAAACACAGCCGTCATCGCAGGCGCCAAACTTTTCAATGCGCACGAACCAAGCTGAAATTGCTTTGGTATGTCTATTTGAGCATAAACCACCCGAACATGCAACAATATTCAGGCCGTTCGATGCTTGTCCCTACGCCTATAGGGATCCATGCGCTTCGCTAACATTTGTCGGCAGACACGACCGTCATCGCAGGCGCCGAACTTTTCTTTGCGCATAATCCAAGCTGAAATTGCTCTGGTATGTGTATTTGAGTATAAGTCATCCGAGTATGCAACAACATTCAGGCCGTTCGATGATTCTCCGTACGTCTGTAGGGATCCAATGCGCTTCGTTACTTCGTTAGACATAGCCGCCATCGCATGCGCCAAACTTTTCTGTGCGCACGAACCAAGCTGAAAGTGCTCTGGTAGTTGTATTTGATCATTTGCCACCCGAATATGCAATAACATTCAGGCCGTTCGATGCTTTTCGATGTGCCTATATGTATTCATGCGTTTCCTTAGCATTTGTCGGCAGACACTGCCGTCATCGCAGTCGCCGAACTTTTCCTTGTGTGCGAACCGAGATAAAATTGCTCCGGTATGTGCATTTGAGCATGGGCAGATGCGGCGAGTGGAGCATGCAGCCGAGCCGACGCGCGGCACTAACAGGCGTGCAACAAGGGAAAAACTCTTGGTATACCGGAAGGTATTTTATGAGGGTGTCAACCAGGGCTGTCAAAGTAAGGGTATTTGCTCGACTGAGATGCCCCGAACATTCCGAAGCGGCTCGACTGTTTTTAGTGTTAGATTAGCATGGCGCCCGTGAGAGTTAGTCAAAGTTAACGTGGCGCCCGTAAGCCTTCCCCTGAATCCAAGTTTTGGTTTCAGTTTCGAAGGACCCCAGCCCTTTCCCCCCTTCTCGGGATGTTTTTTGCCTACGATGTAGAGGCTGTAGGTGCGTTGATGCGAAGTTATAGTGCACTTATGCGACGTAATAGGTTTGTCCTACCTTTGTTAAAGCCAGGGTCTCACGTACTACAAGTGTTTTGCAGTTGATGGTGAAAGTTTGGCTGTGATTGGTTGGCGAGGTGTAAGGTTTGAAGTGGGGTGAAGCGAGGGGTGCGAAGCGAACACAAATCGTTGGGGGTACCCGAACCTTCTAGGCTTGGAAACTTGGTTCGGAGCCAGCCCTAAAATGCCCCCAAATCATCGAAAGTCTCAAGTACCCAAAAGTGTTGTGCAATTGCTACTGGAGCAGTGACGGGGTGTGTCGCAAGCCGAGTTTCCAACCCAACCAGAGACAACTTCGCCAGCACTAACTTGGTTACCTAGCTTCAAGTGTTTTGCAGTTGATGGCTCCTTAGGTTACATGAGACCCTGGCTTTAAATTAGAGTTGAAGTACGCTTTTATAATTGGGGCTGCGCCCGTGAAAATCAGTGTTGGTCCTAGGGACTTCGACAGGCATAGTGCCAGGTGCTGGAGATGGGGGGAAGTGCTGCTGATTGCTGTGTTCGTTTCGCAGAATGTTTTCGTCGAGCAGTTACCAGCAGGTTGCGCCTGCCTTGACCCCACCTCGGTTTCTTCCCAGCAAGTTACGGAGTCAGTTCTCGGGGACATCGTCGCCCGGGTTACAATTCGCAAACTTGGGAGGGGGACGTGGTTGAGGTGGCTGACGAAATCAGTTCACTTCGTCTCCGTCGCCATTCACCTGTCTTGAGCTGTGAAGTCAAACCACTAACTTACCAGGCCCTAGTTTGGGCACTGTTGGGGGAACAATCTTGGAGGACCCCCAAATCTTTGTGACCGCAATCGCCGGTTGCATCTAGAACCAGCATAGTGTCGTTAGTTACGCTGCAGATTCTACCTTCTCTTGGCCAACCTCGGTTCCCACAGTCCGCCAGCCTCTTACCCCGCCGTCCCTGTCCGAACTCTTCCATTCATTTTCTGCGTTCGCTCCATTCGCCGGAGCGCCTGGGCGGCGGTCTCATTCCATTATCCCTTGTGTGGGCCCATCGGGCGGCGCGAATGGGCGACGTGGAGGAGGAGGAGAGCCGGCGGCTGGAGGACTTTTACACGCTGCACGAGGTGCTGGGCACGGGCGGGTTCTCCGTGGTGCAGCGCGCCGAGTCGAAGGAGGACGGCACGGCGGTGGCGGTGAAGACGCTGAAGAAGCACGGCGGGCCGAGCGTGTCGAACGCGCTGGTGGAGAACGAGATCATGGTGATGAACCGCATCGTGGACGAGGTGTCGCCGCACCCCAACGTCATCCACCTCGTCGACGTGTTCGAGGACGCGCACTGCATCCACCTCGTGCTCGAGCTCTGCTCCGGCGGGGAGCTCTTCGACCGCATCGTGCAGCAGGAGCGCTACTCCGAGGCGGGCGCCGCGCTCGTCATCCGCCAGATCGCCAACGGGCTGCGCAGCCTGCACGCCGCGCGCATCGCGCACCGCGACCTCAAGCCCGAGAACTGCCTGTTCCTGACGGCGGCGCCCGACGCGCCGCTGAAGATCATGGACTTCGGGCTGAGCTCCATCGAGGGCGAGACGAGCCCGCTCGTGGGCCTCTTCGGCTCCATCGACTACGTCTCGCCCGAAGCGCTCTCCCGCCGCGAGTCGCGCGCCGCCGGGGACATGTGGTCGCTGGGCGTCATCCTCTACATCCTGCTCTGCGGGTGCGCGCGCTGAGGGGGGGAAGGGGGGAAGAGGGATACAGGGTGGGGGGAGGGGGGAGGGGGGAGGAGGGAGGGGGGAGGGGATGCCAGGGCAAGCGCAGGCGCAGGCGCAGGAGCAGGGGCAGGTGCTTGGGCAGGCGCAGGAGAAGGCGCAGGAGCAGGCGCAGGTGCAGGCGTAGGGCAGGCCAAGGCGCAAGGGCAGGGGCAGGGGCAGGGGCAGGGGCAGGGGCAGGGACAGGGGCAGGGGCAGGGGCAGGGATAAGGGGGGGGGGCAGAGGCAGGGACAAGGGCAGGGGCAGGCGCAGGGGCAAGGGAGGGGGAAGAGCGGCGGCAAGGGCAGGGACAGGTGCAGGCGCGGGCGCAGGGGCGGTGTGCGGGGAGGTAAGGGTAGGGGAGGGCGCATGCTCGGGAGGCGGATGCCTTGGCAGAAGGGGTGCAAATTCTGTGGGACGGGCTGGGATGTACCGGTGATGATGATGATGTACCGGTGATGATGATGATGTACCGGTGATGATGATGATGTACCGGTGATGATGATGATGTACCGGTGATGATGATGATGTACCGGTGATGATGATGATGTACCGGTGATGATGATGATGTACCGGTGATGATGATGATGTACCGGTGTGCAAATGATGCTGGTGCCGTTCATTGTGACCTCAGCTGTGAGTGGGCGAGGTGCAGAGATTCATTCTAAATGCCTCAAGCCCGGTACCTGATGCCCCATGTGTGGTGTGTGGTGCGTGCATGGCTGTGCATGCAGGTACCCGCCCTTCCACGCGCTCAACAACCGTGCCAAGCAGCAACTCATTCTCAACGTCAGTCCCCCCTCCTCCTCCCTGCGCCTCTCATGCCTAATCCTTCCCTTCCTGCTGCAACAAGTCATTATGCCCCTATGCCACTGCTATCCTGAGGGGTTCTGCAAACGAGGTGGCGTGACGTGGCATGGTGTGGTGTGTGCGTGGTGTGTGTGTGGGTGGCAGGCGAGTTTTGACTTTGAGGAGGCGACATGGAGGAGCATATCGCAGTCCGCCAAGCAGCTCGTCACCAGCCTGCTCACCGTCGACCCCTCCAAGCGACCCACCGCTGCTGAGGTAAGCTTCTCCTCCAAGCAAGCCCCTCCCCGAAACAAGCCTCTCCTTTGCTACCCATCCACCCCTGCCTCATATCCTCTGTTCATGTGCCCCATACCACACTCGCATTACTGACCTCTCCCTTCCCTCCTGGGCACCCTCCCCTCTGGGCCACGCCCTGCCCCCTGTGCGCGCCCGTGGCAGCTGCTGCTGCACCCGTGGGTGAAGGGCGACGCAGCGAGGCAGGAGCCGATGGAGCCAGAGGTGTGCCGGCGCCTGCTCACCTTCAACGCACGCCGCAAGTTCCGAGCGGCGGCGTATGCGAGCATCGTGAGCAACAAGCTCATGCTGCGCACACGGGCGCTGCGGAACATACTGGGTGGATTCGACACACTCAATGAGACGGAGCTCAAGGACCTGCACACGCACTTCAAGAGAATGTGAGCTGCACACATGCATGCACGCACACGCACACGCACACGCGTGCGCACGCATGCGTACACGCAAGAAACTCATTACAAATCTTGCACCAGCTTCTTACCTTCACCAATCTCTGGTGCCATTCACTGACCTGCACCGCCTGTTTTCCCCATTGAACCCACCCATTGCCCCCTTTTCCCCTTTCCCTCCCTGCATGCTGCTCAGATCGTCGAGTGGCACGAGTGTGACAGTGGCGGAGTTTGAGGACGTGCTGAGGGCCATGGGCATGGGCAGCCTGGTGCCGATGGCGCGGCGCGTGTTTGAGGTGTTTGACAGCGACAAGAACGGCTCCGTCGACATGCGGGAGATCGTCTGTGGCCTCGCTGCCTTCCGCAAGTCCCAAGGCGACGACGCCCTGCGCCTCTGCTTCAAGGTGCGCCTCTGCTTCAAGGTGCGCCTCTGCTTCAAGGTGCGCCTCTGCTTCAAGGTGCGCCTCTGCTTCAAGGTGCGCCTCTGCTTCAAGGTGCGCCTCTGCTTCAAGGTGCGCCTCTGCTTCAAGGTGCGCCTCTGCTTCAAGGTGCGCCTCTGCTTCAAGGTGCGCCTCTGCTTCAAGGTGCGCCTCTGCTTCAAGGTGCGCCTCTGCTTCAAGGTGCGCCTCTGCTTCAAGGTGCGCCTCTGCTTCAAGGTGCGCCTCTGCTTCAAGGTGCGCCTCTGCTTCAAGGTGCGCCTCTGCTTCAAGGTGCGCCTCTGCTTCAAGGTGCGCCTCTGCTTCAAGGTGCACCTCTGCTTCAAGGTGCGCCTCTGCTTCAAGGTGCGCCTCTGCTTCAAGGTGCGCCTCTGCTTCAAGGTGCGCCTCTGCTTCAAGGTGCGCCTCTGCTTCAAGGTGCGCCTCTGCTTCAAGGTGCGCCTCTGCTTCAAGGTGCGCCTCTGCTTCAAGGTGCGCCTTTGCTTCAAGGTGCGCCTCTGCTTCAAGGTGCGCCTCTGCTTCAAGGTGGGCTTTTTTTTAGGCACCTTCGTTCTAGATGTCCTAGTTTTTGCGAGCCACATTGGGATTGATGTTAAAAAAGAGGGAAGAAAAGAGTGGGGGGTTTGGGGGAGGGGGGTTGGAGGGGGATTGCAGTGCACGCGGCATTGGAAGCTGAGGGCTGCCTTTCACACTGCTCATACCCACCCAGTGTGCCCCGCGACCTGGGCTCCACAAGAAACACCCTTTGAAGCAAATTGTGAAGGGATGGTCAGTGGTGCATGCATTGAGAGGGCCGCTCTGCTGAGAGACTCACACTGCCTTGCCTCCATCCATTTCCCCTGTGCCACTCATCTCTCTCCACGGCATGCAGATGTACGATGCGGATGACTCAGGATACATTTCAAAGGACGAGCTTGCTGCTATGCTCAAGGTGAGCTCGCTGCCATGCTTGTGTCTGAATGGGAATGGTTTTCAATAGATGCAACTGAGCTTGTTCAGAAGCGCTCTCCACCCAGCAGTGTACCTGCACTATTTTGTACCAACGCACCACTGGCAGAAACCTGAGTTACAGCCATTGAGACAAACAGGTGTGTTGGTTACATTGCCATGTCTCATCACCCCTCACTCACTCATCACTGGATTGCTGAACTCATGCTCTGCCCAACCCATGCTCTGCTCTCTGCTGCACACGTGCTTGGCTGGCATGGCATGGCATGGCATGGCATGGCAGGCGCTACCGGAGGACTATCTACCCCCGGACATCCTAGAGCCGGGCATACTGGACGAGTTCTTTGACCGCATGGACGCCAACTGTGACGGGCGGCTCAGTTTCGACGAGTTCAAGGCCGCCATCCACGCCGACCACTTCCTCGTCGACGCGCTCCTGCAGCCCGCCCGCGGCGAGTCGCCCGCCGCCCGACCGCCGCCCAAAGGGGAGTCTCCGCTGTTCCGCCAACACCAGTGGTGACACGCGAGCATGCCGCCCTCTGCACTCTTTCTTTACTACGCTGGAGAGCCGCTGCTGATCCCATAAAAACATTTCTCTTGAGCCAAGTGATGTGCCCACTCGGCCGCCCCTTCACTAACATTGGCATAACAACAGGCCCAACTGATGGGCTGCCAGAAACATACAGAATCAATATTGTCTTTTGAGGGCTGTTTAGAATCATTACCGTATTTCGACATTGTGGTGGTTCATGCATGGAATTTATATTGAGAAACTGTACAGTACCTATCCATTGTTGTTGTTGTGTCCTTTTTTAGCTTATAAAGAGATCTCTGCGCTCGAGGGTGGTGGGGCATCAACACGAGGTGCATAGGAAGTTGGGTATCAGGCGAGTGTGACGGTGGGTGCCTAAGATGGGGGCAGATTGCGAGCATCAGTTGGGCGGCAGGGAGCCAGCAGCACGGAGGTGGTCCACGAACTCGTCTATGAGGTACGGCCAGGCGCCGCCCTCGTCGTACTGCTCCAACTGCCCCTGCGTCAACTGAGAGCCCCCATGCGAGGGGGAGAAGAAGAGAGGGAGTGGGGTGGGGGATGGATTGCTTGAGCAGGGCGCATGTAGTGGCAGGGGCACATGATGGTGGAGATGGTGCTTCCATGGCAAGGGGGGCAGTCCCCCCAACCAACCCGCATGGGTGCAGGGGCAGGAAAGGCAGGTGCCGCCAGGTGCAGAGTAGGAAGGGCAGGATAGGGCGGGTGCAGAATAGGCGGGGCAGGAGCAGGAGCAACATACCCGGGAGAAGTCAAAGAGCTGCGACCAGGTGTCCTTGGATATGGCCTTGTTGTGCTGCACCTGCTCCCACCCACACACGCCATGCAATGCGTGCAGCCATGTAGCACATCCAACCACGCCATGCATGCAGCCATGTAGCACATCCAACCACGCCATGCATGCAGCCATGTAGCACATCCAACCACGCCATGCATGCAGCCATGTAGCACATGTAGTGCCACACACCACGGCAGTGAGGTTCAGATGTAACAACCACATAACACACGGGGATATGAAAGCAGGGAAGGGTGAAGCAGGTTCCCAGAGGCATCTTGAGGGTTCCTCAGCAACCACTGTGTTTTCAGACCGGCTCCACTCACCCTCACTACTGTCCCACCTTCACCATACCATACCACTCCACCAACTTTTTCACCCTCACCACCTCAGTCCAGCGCCCGCGTGTGGCTCACCCTGACGAAGTCACACCAGTGGTCGACGTGCGGCCAGCTGCGGTAGCCCAGCAGCAGCTGCCACATGCCGATGGCCGTGTCCAGCGCCAGCCACTTCTGGCCCTGTGGGGAGGGAGGGCAAAGCGATGGCGGCGACAGGAGGACAGCGTGGGTGGGTTGGAGCACCTTGCAGGGCACTGACAGTGCTGTGTGGAGCAGTGACATTACAATGGTCATTCCGCAGCCCACCTCCTCTCACTCAGAGTCGCATGCCACCTCTCCTCTGCACCACACCCAACCCCTCTGCTGCCACCAGTCCGCACTGCCCTCCTTTATTCTCTCTCTCGCACGCCTACCTTCTCCTTGGCCCACGCGAACGCAAAGTTGTATATTTGGCGAAACACGTCTGTGTGAGACACAGGCCACCACAGGCAAGAGGGGGGCGAGAGGAGCAAAGAATGAAAGGATAGGAATGTGATGATGTCGTTGGGTGGGGTGAGAGCGGAACTGATAGGGCAGGAAGGGCCAGAAAATAGATGTGAACGAAAAGAAGCGATGCAGAAAACACAAGTGCAACCTATAGGTCGTGCCATGCTTGCACATCTCTATCCTACGATGCCTCTTGGTCCGCTACTCACAATCTTTGCCCCACACCCCGCCCACCTCCCCACCCACCCTCTTAACTGCCCCTCACACTCATCTCCCCCCTCCTTCCCATCTCCCCTCCCTCCCATGGCTGCTCACTCTCGTCTTGCAGCTCGCGCCGGAATGATGGCAGCAGCGCCTTCAGCGCCTCCAGTGACGTCACCCTGCCACCATGGGAGGCGGGGGTGTGGATAAGGGGAGGTGGGGTAATGGGCAAAGAAAAAGGAGAGGATGTGCGGGGTTGAGAAAGGCGAGGGGCTTGTGAGACCCAAGAGTAGACAACCTGAACTGCAGCAACATTGCAACAGAGCACAAGACAAGCGTTGGTCGGTCAGTGGCAGCATGGGAAGGGGGATTTTGTGTGGTGCATGCATGTGAGAAGGCAAGGGGCTGACCGCAGGGAGCGCAGGCCGGAGGTGAACTCTTGGCGCGAGTACTCGCACATGGTGGCCGCACCCAGATGCCATGACAGCACCAGCTGTGGGGCATGGGACACATGGGGGGAAGGGAACACGTATGGGGCTTACAGCAGGGATGCAGTGCATGCACGTGGACAAGAAATAGCAGCCAAGAGTGCGGCATCAATCGCATGGTAAAAAAAGGCAGTAGAGGTGCAGGAGAGAGAGCAGGGCATGCGCGCTCACCATAACAATGTCCTGTGGCTCCACCTGGTGCCGCCCACATGGCACGTTCAACGGGGTACCATGGTATTCGGGCGGGAACAACATGGCATGGCACAGAGGGAGAAAAGGGATTGTGAGTGGAAGAGTACGGAGGAGAGTAGAGCACGTGGCCACGATGGAACATGGGAGACTCAGGCGATGGAGATAATATTGTCAATGGCAATGGTGCCGGTTGGGAAAGAGAAGCAGGGAGCGTGGGGTGGGAGCGAGCAGGAAGGTTGAGGAGCAGGCACGTGCAGCATAGGAGCAGGCACGTGCAGCATAGGAGCAGGCACGTGCAGCATAGGAGCAGGCACGTGCAGCATAGGAGCAGGCACGTGCAGCATGAGCGCACCTCGAGGTCTTCACACATGCGCGAGATGCCGTCCACGAGAATCATATCTGAATCCGGATCTGATGCAGCACACGGAGGAGGGCGAGTGGGACAGGGCACCAGCAGCACACTAACCAGGTTTTAGCTTGCATTGCAATACCGGCACGGCATAAACAGCAGTTTTGATTTAAATATGTCAGCGGCACGCACCTTTGTAGCGCAGGAAGAGCTCTTGTATGGGATCCACTGGTGGCTGCTGGGGCGGCATGGCATGCCCCCCTTGCTGCTGGTGGTGGAAGTGCGAGCGCCCCGTGAAGGCTACCAGGAAGCCCCCTCCGCCCCGCGCGGCCATGGGCGCCCCCCCCGCCTGGTAGCGCGCCAGTGCTGGCGCCACCTCCCACTCGCTGCCCTGCAGCGCTGCCACCGCATCGCGCTCACTGCCGTGTGCACGCAAGCAGGCGCGCATGGGACGGGATGAGACGTTGAGTTGAAAAGGAGCTGATGAGGATTCGTGGCATGCGTGGCATGCGTGGCATGGGTGGCATGCGTGGCATGCGTGGCATGGGTGGCATGGGTGGCATGCGTGGCATGGGTGGCATGGGTGGCATGCGTGGCATGGGTGGCATGCGTGGCATGGGTGGCATGGGTGGCATGGGTGGCATGCGTGGCATGCGTGGCATGGGTGGCATGCGTGGCATGGGTGGCATGGGTGGCATGGGTGGCATGCGTGGCATGGGTGGCATGGGTGGCATGGGTGGCATGGGTGGCATGGGTGGCATGCGTGGCATGGGTGGCATGGGTGGCATGGGTGGCATGGGTGGCATGGGTGGCATGGGTGGCATGGGTGGCATGGGTGGCATGGGTGGCATGGGTGGCATGGGTGGCATGCGTGGCATGGGTGGCATGGGTGGCATGGGTGGCATGGGTGGCATGGGTGGCATGGGTGGCATGGGTGGCATGGGTGGCATGGGTGGCATGGGTGGCATGCGTGGCATGGGTGGCATGCGTGGCATGGGTGGCATGGGTGGCATGCGTGGCATGGGTGGCATGGGTGGCATGGGTGGCATGGGTGGCATGGGTGGCATGGGTGGCATGGGTGGCATGGGTGGCATGCGTGGCATGGGTGGCATGCGTGGCATGGGTGGCATGGGTGGCATGCGTGGCATGCGTGGCATGGGTGGCATGGGTGGCATGCGTGGCATGGGTGGCATGGGTGGCATGGGTGGCATGCGTGGCATGGGTGGCATGGGTGGCATGCGTGGCATGGGTGGCATGGGTGGCATGGGTGGCATGGGTGGCATGGGTGGCATGGGTGGCATGGGTGGCATGGGTGGCATGCGTGGCATGGGTGGCATGGGTGGCATGCGTGGCATGGGTGGCATGGGTGGCATGCGTGGCATGGGTGGCATGGGTGGCATGCGTGGCATGGGTGGCATGGGTGGCATGGGTGGCATGCGTGGCATGGGTGGCATGGGTGGCATGGGTGGCATGCGTGGCATGGGTGGCATGGGTGGCATGCGTGGCATGGGTGGCATGGGTGGCATGGGTGGCATGCGTGGCATGGGTGGCATGGGTGGCATGCGTGGCATGGGTGGCATGGGTGGCATGGGTGGCATGGGTGGCATGGGTGGCATGGGTGGCATGGGTGGCATGGGTGGCATGGTGGCATGGGTGGCATGGGTGGCATGGGTGGCATGCGTGGCATGGGTGGCATGGGTGGCATGCGTGGCATGGGTGGCATGGGTGGCATGCGTGGCATGGGTGGCATGGGTGGCATGGGTGGCATGCGTGGCATGGGTGGCATGGGTGGCATGGGTGGCATGCGTGGCATGGGTGGCATGGGTGGCATGCGTGGCATGGGTGGCATGGGTGGCATGGGTGGCATGCGTGGCATGGGTGGCATGGGTGGCATGCGTGGCATGGGTGGCATGGGTGGCATGGGTGGCATGGGTGGCATGGGTGGCATGGGTGGCATGGGTGGCATGCGTGGCATGGGTGGCATGGGTGGCATGCGTGGCATGGGTGGCATGGGTGGCATGCGTGGCATGGGTGGCATGCGTGGCATGGGTGGCATGGGTGGCATGGGTGGCATGCGTGGCATGGGTGGCATGCGTGGCATGGGTGGCATGGGTGGCATGCGTGGCATGGGTGGCATGGGTGGC